TATTAGCATCAACCTTGCAACGAACTGGTGTGTAAAGGTGTGTGTGTGTGTGTGTGTGTGTGTGTGTGACTATCAAATATTTCTGACTATGAGCGTGTGACATGTGACTGTATTCAGGGTAATGTAGCCACATTGGCTTGCAAACATGCTCAGATGCTTCATAAAAACATAAAGAGCTTGCTACTAACCCATTCCTTTTACATCCAGTCACTCAGGGGAATTTAGGAGGATGCATTATACAACATCATGCATTATAAGCTCAATCATCTAAACACAGTAAAAATGGGTGGAATTAGATAAAATTGATAAAAACAAATGCAAAGAAAAACTGCCCAACAGGACTATGACAAATACAAAGAGAAAATCATAGTTAAATTAAAAGCCCAGCTGTATGTGTGTGTGTGTGTAAACAAATGCCAAAGGCATTTTTGTGCCGGAGGCACTTAGAGGCTGTATCAGGCTCTTCAATCGCCTCTTAATCCTAGAAGTGTAGAGTGTGGCTGCTTTGAAGTTGTGTGTGTGTGTGTGTGTGTGTGTGTGTGTGCGCGTCTTAAAGAGAGTGGAAATTAATCTTATGGCAAGACATGTAATGCCTACCAGAACTTAATTAATAATCTGCAGTAGGAAGCAGGTCAAACACACAGACACATGTGCACACTAAAAAGTGGCTCAGGGGAGGCGCAGAAAGCAGGGTGACAACTTTCTCTCACACAAACACTTAAATATATGCACACAAGTCAAACATATTCAAATATAGACAGTGGACAAACAGGATGACACATCTGTAGCTGTTTGAAAGTGAAATTTGCATAAGGTGTGCCCATTCTTGGAAGTGGACAGTTGTATTACTGCCAAAGGAAGGAGGAAACTGAAATAAATTCTCAGTAATGCTGTGTGATAACATGATAATTTCAGTGTGTGGAGGTCAGTGTGTTTGTTTCCAGTGGTAGAAAAAAAGTCAGAATTCAGAATCTCTTTAGTATCGCCTCCATTTGGATCCTCTCTGATATGTTTCCAGTCAACTCACATTACTTAAGAGCAATTATGGTTCTAAGCATTTCCTAAATTTGAACTGACAGAACACATAAAACTAAGCTCAAGACTTGCTGACGCAAGGAAGATGTCACTCTACACAAAGGACACAATGTGACTGCTGACAGACAAGTAAAGCACTGGGGAATTCTTAAGGCAACACTGAATTACACAGCATATTGTTTTAATGGTTGTTGCTAGTTGTTTCTGTATGTTGTTTCTGGGAGCTGATTTGTGGGGTTTGTTTTTCGTTTGTTGAAAAAAACAAAAAAAACAACAAAAACTGATTTCAAAGAGGGTTTTCCCCCCAACAGCTCTGCAAAGCCTTTGGTTTTAGTGGCAGCAGTTTTTGTAAACATTCAAAATGATTTTCTGTTCACCACATGTCTCTCATAGGAATCCGAGTTCAACACGTCAGGAAGGGAGAGCTGGGAGATGTGTGCTCATTTGCCTGCAATCATTGCTGTACTCACTTGTATCTGTGTGCACAACAGAGAGAGTTGGTAGTGTAATGACAAGAGGCTTTATTTCCATTTCACAGTTTGCCGTCATTGCTTGTCAGTAGCAATTCTCTTTATACCTCCTGCTCACTGTCAGTGCCACATCACACACAGCACAGAAATAATGTCCATGCATGCCTGTGTGTGTGCATGCAGATCTGACAGACAGGTACACACACACACAACATACTAATTGTTCGGTGATTACACACTGCAGCAGCTCTTGGTATCAAAAAAAGCAACTTCACCCACTACCCACATCAAAAGGTCTAGGGAAAAGTTTGCTTTGCTTTATGGATGGAGTCATTTGCAGAATCCTAGATTCACTAGCGTGGGAAGGGGATGCTGCCGGGTACTGCAGAAGAAACATGTTTTGTTTATATTGTGTAAATAGTGGTTTTAAAAAAGAGGAATATGGTTGTGGAAAACAGTTTTAAATTTGCCTATTTTTTGAGGAAATGATTTGTTGAGAAAACTCCTCCTCAGTGAGGCTTTCCACAGTTAGCAAGCAACAATGGTAAGCAATGATTATCCAGTCTTTTTTCTTCAAGTAGGTTAATATTTCAAAGACCAACATTAATGCTACTAATACGAACATTACTGAGGACATAGATGAAAATAACATTGCCAACACTGAAGCCACAATAGCAACAACAGCTAATGCTAGTGTTAGTAACAGCACCACAGCAGAGCCAGTCACTGCAGAGGAGAGCAGCCGTGGGGTCACTGGTTCGCAGGCTTTAACACCACTGAAAAAGTGTCTTACTTTTGTTTTCTGTGCACAGATTTGTGTCAAATACTTTATGGGAAAAGATCTTAACTGAAGATGACTGTTGCGACTTTGCTAACAAATATGTAAAGTTTTTCTTCAGCCACTGAATTTTGATTGAGCTGTGACCAGATCTTGTCTTTCCAGTTTTCTGCCAAGGCAGACCTCACTTCCTGTCTTTTTGTGCCACCATCCCTCATTTGATCAATACCTTTGTTCAACATCTACCTGATGTTCAGATGTAGAATGATTCCAAGTTGAATTATAAACATCAATCAAAAGACAGAGCCCAATATCATAGTGTCCCATTTAAAACTCCATGTAGTGTGCAATAAGACGGGAGCTGCCTGATGCCATGTTTTAATGTGACTGAGAAAGTGTGTCACTTCCCTCCCTTCTGTTGGAAGACTTCAAAAAGCGAGCAAGGGAACTGTGTGATGTTTATTGGGATCGTACAGCCTTAACTTTGACTCTTTTATCTGCTGGGTGACTCACTCTCTCTCTTTGCCGCCGGGCCCGATGGTGCACTGAAAAAATGAGGAACTCACAAGTCTGGGGATGCGTACATGCAAACAAACAGACAACTTGTTTATACACAAACACAAAAACACAATCTCTAGCTCTAAAAATGCTTTAATGTGCAGCAGCTGTTAAGTAAACATATACAACCCGCATATAAAACCAGGATTCGGGCACATAGATCCAATAATCTGAAAGCCCCACACCACACATCTAAACTTTACCTCCTTCTCTCTTTAAATCAGATGCTTCACTGTGCCCCCCACAACTCTTTGTCTCCCAGTTCATCTGTCAGCGTGAGGAGAATGTGGGCCCTCTTTGATCAACCTGTGTTTCACTCCTCCGCATCTAATCCATGACCGACTCAATAATGTGATTTGGTGCATCTCCAAATGGCAGAGGACCAACCTAATAAGTCAGCAGTGTCAGGGGCATGAGAATAACATGGCTATGACAACAACAAATGAAAACAGCCTCGTACCACCATATTCTGGCCGAGTGAGAGATCGGTCTGGAAGAACATGTCTCTAAAAGGTTGGGATCAAAGCTGGCTTCAGTGGGTTGATATGGATGTTAATCATTTAATGAAACTCTACTAGCAACAAAGTCACTTTTTCTCTGTAGCTTCAGGTGGACAAGACTTTCCTTTCTTGAGATCATCACTGATAAATGTACTCTGGTGAAAAGCTCCACACAAA